ATAAGCGTCACAAAGTTTCCCCACAGACTATAGGACAGTTGATGACACGAAGTTGCCAAATGATACTTGAAGAACTTGTCTTGGAGCCCCATAAAGTAAAAGGGAAGAGGATAGAGGTTGAAAACTTGGAGGATAAATACGTGGTGGATGGAACTGTTCACCCCAAAGAAAGCGACAACGAGGAATTCGAAGGATGCATAAAGTTTCATAAACATTTCTTTTTTGGAGGAATTTTTGCACACGGCGGGGGGAAGAAAAACAATATTTTGGCGGGAAGCTTCCTTTCCACAGGCATGCCCAATGTTAAGGAGAGGAGGAGGGGAACGAAGATCTCCTTACTTTTTCAGGTAATACATGTAAAATACTGACCGTGGGATCACCAGTACTGCACGACAGGATTTGGGTCACTCAACTGCCACACAAACGCTTTTCTATCCTATCCGGTTGCTAGTGGGACCGTGCCCCTGATCTTCTCTTGGAATTTTCCATAATATTGTTTATAGTCTAAATTTAATTCTTACACGTCAAAAATCTGGATATCAAATTTCCTTGTGTTTCCCTCCCCCCCTCCACTAAGAAAGTCTGATCCTCTCCCATGTGTCAGTTCTCTCGAAATTTGGTAGGATGGTTTGTTTATGGAGGGGGTGTGCTCTGCTCTGCAGGGGCTTCACAAGGTGGGTAGTGAATGCCCTGGAGAGAATGTGGGCAGATTGTGGGGGATAGTCTAGTCTGGGCCTGGGGTCCATGTGAGGGGAAGCATCAAATCTCAGCAGCACCAAAAAAAGGGGGTAAGGGTTAGGCAGAGGCATACTTTGGGTGGGAACTGGATGCCTCTGGGGTTATAAAGGGGAAAGTGCGACTGTTCCAAGCTGGGGCCAAAGAGGCAGGTCTACATTGTTTTTTTTTTCCCGTGGAGGCAGTGACGGGACAAGATGGTGAGAGGAGAGAGGGTGGGGTGGGGGGGGAGGAGGATTTTCTCTGTTTTGTTTTGATAATCAATCCTCATTAATCTCACTGTGCTATGTAAGGGACCGGGAGTTAAAGATCCAGTCCCTGCATAGTACTTTACTGATCGGGCTATGTTGAGCTTATTTGGCTTTATTCCAATCCCAGGCGGCTGCTGGCCTCTTTTTTTCCTTTTTTTTTTTTTTTTTATAGAAAAGGCCTCCATTAGTGCTAGTGGTGCTGATAAGAGCAGACACCGCTAGCACCTAGGGGGAGCTCCATCTATTGGTGGGGAGCAGGACCTGCTGGAAAACGGGTCCAGTGTCCCTTACACTGACTGAAATTTGAATTTGTCTGGAACATAGGTGTGAGGAGTTCCTGAGAAGTTCCTGCCGGCATTGATTACCCTGAGGTCCAGGGGATTGACCGAGCAGGATGTTGGGGGGAAGGGAGAACCTCTTCGCCTTAATCCAGCGCCAGATACATCACTTTTGCACTAGTCCTTCCTTCGCCTTGAGCAGCGACTAACTTTTATCTTTTTTAGTGTCCGAAAATGAAATCAAATCGGCCTGTTGCCGCCCAGAAGGCTGTTGTTTGTAATGTTGCCTCTACTTTTTAAACTCCCACCCTCCTTTTAGGGGGTATGTCTTTGAAGTGTCCCTAAGCTGCCAGGTATCACCTGTGAGTGTGGTTGTGTCCAGGGGGCACCAGACTACCACCTGTTTCCTTTTATGTGAAGTACTCAGTAAGGGAGAGGGGGTGGGGTGGGAAGGGATCAGGAAAGTCCGCAGGGGGGCATATAAGGAAAGAGGGATCAATATTCAACCAGTCTTTAAACAAAAAGTTTATAGTCCCTCATCCTTTCTAAGTCTTGATAGTCATCTAAAATGTCGTCATACCCGCTCTATTTTACTTCTGCTATCCATCCTTCCTTTTCCCCTCCTAACCACTCCTGGCAGAAGGAACTGATTGTCTTCTTAATGTCTTTTCTCTGCCGAAATAGGTTCAGTTGTGATTTCAGAGTTTGCCACTTTTGTGTTATTCCCATCTGGATCTATTGTTTTATTTGTTCCAGGATCTCCGCTGCATCAATTTGGACTTTTTCTAGAGTAAGAAGACACCGTTGCCACCATAAGACCCATAACACTGTCCGCCTCCCTAATCTGAACATATTATCTTCGAAGTTGGAGGTGTCTTCTACTAGTCGCCAGTGGCCTGCCAGTATCGTTTGCCATGAGCAAGGCCAGGGGGCTGAGGCGCCCATCTTCCTCCAGATACGTTCCCAATTTCTCCAAATGAACTGGGCAATCGGGCATTGCATGAACACGTGCTCGATTGTCTCAGCTCTCTTGTGTGATGGGAAGAGGTTAGAGCAGTGTTGGCACCATGGTAACAGTTCCCCCCCCTCTGTTCCAAGTATGTACGATCGACGAGCCAGTTATTCGTAGGTAGGCAGCAGTGAACTATCTGCCATTGCAAGGAATTTATTTTAGCCGGTCGGGACTTCCTTTCCTGGAACCAGCGGATGGGTTTGAGAAGGTTCAGGTCCACGTTTAAATGCCTGGCCCAACGGTCATTTATTTGATCCCTCAGGCAACGTTTGGGCCGTAGCATCCTATAAGTGGTTTTAACTGTCAGTTTATGTAGATAAATCCATTTCGGGGTATGCCCTGTTTGGATCTGCGGAAGTTTCCAACGCCACTCCTCTGGGTCAAAAGGCAAGTCCCGAATGTCTTTGTCTGGATGGAAGATTGTTCACCCCTTTCCTTCATCCAGCACTCTGGTTCTGATGAGTTCTGTTTTGTCCACCTATTGGAAAGGGGCTGCACTTCCTTTGAGGGTGCCCCTCTGTTCTACAGTATAGTATTCTATTAAGGTTTTTTATGAGTCTGTCATATATACTCTACCAACTCTCCCTGCCAGTCCAATGTGAGTCACCCAGTCCCCTTCATTTATTGATGGGCCCTGTCTCAGTATTTGATACCATGCCAAGGGGATGCTTTCAATTAGCTGATCTAGGTGACATTCTATGTGGTGACAGTATCTGAGCGTTGCTCTTAGTTGTTCAGTGCCTTTCTAGTTTTTACTCTCGCAGTCCCATAGGTCCCCCACTCGCAGGATCCCCCGTTTTACCCAACCTTCCCATGGGGGAACTGAACTCAGCATTACACGTGCTTACGTATCTGTGATCCATTTGTTCCCAAAAAGGGGCTGACGGAAGGATGGCCAGAATGTTGGTGATGCCTAGCAAAGCGGTGGTATTTTGCGCTCCTGGTTTGCCGATGCCAAAACAACGCTGGCCGGTGCTCGGGCAAATGCCCTGTGACCTGTTTGTCGCAGGAGAGTGCAGCCTGGTAGGGAGATCTGCGGATTCGTCGAGGAAGGAAGGCAATCCAGTGGCGAACTGGGGGGGGGGCTGCCATGACAACCTAAGAGGTCGGGTGCAGTCTTGGTAGTGAAAACACGATGGCTATGGAAGATATTGGTCAGATGAGATTGTCAGTGGACTGTTGAGTCGGATAGAGGGAAGGCTGGGAGTTGATCATGGGTTGTGGAGCCAAGTTTTGCAGATGTAGTTTTTAAATTTCTATAGGTCATTAGGCATTAGCATGATCAATGTCATCATCTTCAGTTCATCAACAAAAAAAAAGGCTATGTCGAGCTTTTCTGGTTTTTCTTTCAATCCTAGGTGACATCTGGTTTTCCTCTTATAGCGGTTGCAAGATTTTAGAGATGGTAAAAGCATGTGGTCACTAATGTCTTTCAGAGCTGTGGTGTTTTGTGCCCTTGGTTTGCCGATGCCAGAATGATGTTGGCCGGTGCTGGGGCGTAGCCCTGTGACCTGTTTGTTGCAGGAGCTTGAGGCCTGGTAGAGAGATCTGGGGATTTGTCGAGGGATGAAGACAATCCAGTGGTGAACAGGAGGGTGCTGCTATGACAACCCAAGCAGCCGGGTATAGTCTAGGTTGTGAGAACATGTCAGTTTTGATGGGTGTTGGTTGGAATGGCATTGCCTTTGGAATGTTGTGTTTGGTATAGGAGGGGAGGCTATGACTTGCTCGTAGATTTTGTGGCCAGATTGTGCTGATATAGTTTATACCATGGCTACGCCGGACCCGTACCCGGGCCCAGACAGCTCATGTCCGGGTACCGGACGCATGTCCGGGTACCTGACGCATGTCCAGTCAGGTCTGGACGTCCGGACTTCCGGACATATCCGGACCTCCGAACATGCATGGTTTCGGATGGTCCGGACAGGTAAGCAGGCCCGGAAATGTCCAGACCATTAAAAACAATGAAAACAAAGAAAATCTGAAAAAAAACTGTTATGCAGAATAACAATGCAAACCACTTTTGCCTCAGGATACGATGGACGTTACTTTTCGTCGTTTCGGGAGAAATGACTTTTGAGTTGTCTAGGCTGTAGGCCCGAGGGTACTTGAGGCCGAAAATGTATGGGTATGTTCGGGGTTTTTTGCTTTAGGGTTTTTTTCGTAGGGTACTCATGCGTTCAGCTCGTGATCAATGAGGGTGCAGTTGAGGACCGATGCATCGAAGTAACGAAGACGAGTATAAAAGGTATCAGAGCTATAGACCTCATCCTCAATTTAAGTGGCAAATGAGTAGAAGGATTGGGAAATCCTCGGCAGTGTGTGTCGAGGTAACGTGGGGAGGAAGTTGGTATCGCCATGATATTAAAACTCATATCTACTTCTTCTTTATGGTGTTCATTGTCTTCATCGTATAGAGCCACAGACTCGACCCTGCCATGGCTCGGAAACGAGTCTGTGGTGCCGACTCACTTGTGAGCTCGTGCGTTATTCATGTAAGATGCGTTAGCATCTCCTTTATGGTTTTATCTATGATTTCGCGGTAATTTTACCACCATATTTCGGCCAGTTATATCTTATGTTTGATTTCCTTTGTCTGCGCTATTCAGTATCGTGCTAATCCTGCGCCATCTCTGATGCGTTGTTCTATTACAAAAACCGTGGCGTCTGCTGCTTACGCGGTATCTTGGCTACTGCTCAGGTTCCGGTTATGCCACGTACGCGGTTATGGTGAGGGGAGCCGCCTCACGATTGTACCAGGGGTGACGAGTTTGGCGTGCACGTTCTAAAGCAGTGGAGTGTTGCTGATCAACGTTCCGAGCGCATGTGGCTACTAGAACGCAAGTGCCTCCTGGTCTGGAGTGAGAAGCGGGATTCGAAGGTTGAGTTGTGCATCGGGATCGGGTGTACGCTTGTTGTACTTGCGATTGTCGAGCTTATGTCTGGAAGAGGTCGGGGGAGAACCGGCGGGAGGAAGGGTAAGTGGTCAAATTGCGGGCGTTTTTGGATGGATCACAGCAGCAACCAGACTCGTGCGCCGACCTCGTATGCTGATGGCATGTCCTATCAACCCCAAGGCCCACCCATGCAACCTCCTGCAATGGCGTACCAGGCTCATGGTGTTACCAATCCGTCTCCGCCTACAATGATGCAGCAGCAGCTTCCAGTGGGCATGCAAGGGGGTTTTATGCTTCTAATTTTGTCGTCTGCTCAAGCGACTACTATGCTGCCGCTTCCGCAGTACCAGCCGATAGGGTGGGGCGCTCAACCTTGGGCACCTGTTGGGCAGGCACCTCCGGTGAGTATTCCTCAACCGCCTGCCCTTCAACAGGGTAATCAAAGCCAAGGGGGTGATCGACTGTCACAGAGCGGGAACGGGAAAGGCCCGGCTGCGAACGCCTTTCCTGGACCCGGGAACCGAGCCTATTTTACCAAAGAATATATGGATATACTAGAAGGGATTAAGTGCGAGAAAGCAGTCGAGGATGCTAAGAAGAAGGTAGCGGCGGGTAGACGTTCTGGCGCCAGTATCAGGATTGTTGATTTGACTGATGAACCTAGGAACCTTGTCTCACATCCTAGGAACCAAGCTGAGCAGCCTGCAGATAAGGCTGAGGAAATGAAAGCTTGGGTTACGGCCACCTTAGGTAATTCCCTCAAACTCATCTCTGATAAGCTTGAGCTGGTAGACAAACGGTCGAAGCTTGCAGACGATGAGAAGCTAAAACTTGAGAGACTTAGGGAGGAGAAGGCTAGATCTGAGAAGGAAAGTAAGGAGGCATCCAACAGCGAGAAGCGGAACAGGCGTGTCGAGCGGACTCCCGTGGAAGCATCCCCTCTGGTGAGTCGGGCCAAGCCACGTACTCGCGCCAGTGCGAAGAACAAGTCCCGATCCAAGCGGATCGACTTGTCCAACAATAATAGCGGAAAGGCTGATGTTAAACAGAATCTGCAGGCGAAAGTGAATAGTAACAGTGATCTAGCCGATATCAAGAAACTCCTCGTCTCTCTAGTGCAAGAGGTTGGTGACCGCAAAGGGAAGGGCCCTGCCATGAAGCCTGTGACCAACCAACACATACCTACTGAGGACTCAGAGGATATCGATCTAGCTCAGAACGGCCAACACATCGAGATGGATGATGAAGAGGAAGAAGCTGACAAAGGTGGGCTGGCGGCCTGCATGAAACTGCGACTCGAATTCTATACTTCGCTACAGTATACTCGCATTCAAGAGCTTTGCAAACAAAAATATATCCAATACTTTCGAAAGGAGCTGGGTGCGTGGGAATTGGCACGCATCGGCCTTTAGGAGTATGCTGACTCCATCAGCGAAAACCGACCTACTGCGAAGGGTCAACCATCTCGGAAGACCACCGATCTTCCGGTGAACGCCGACAGTGCCGACGGCGCGTTAGTTACCGAAGTCAATGCCGTTACGGGAAACTAAGGCTGGGTAGCCTTCGCTCCCTCCAACGAGCAACTCAGCGTATCCTGCGGTTGAAGGATAGTCTGGATATTCATGTGGCCCTGATCCTTGATAGGATCCATCTCCTGATTATCTTACTCGCTTGCCTAAGGGGTGACATCGCCTGGGGGAAAGCATATGTTAAGTTTTGGCTCAGGTTTTCCACCTGCGAATGGGATAAAATGTTGCTTGCATCTAACGGCGTTTATATCTTAATGTCTCTCAACCATCGCTTGGTATATGTTGGAAAAACCACACGTGTGCTCAAGGAGCGTTGGGCTGAGCACATATGAGCAACTAAAGGGGTCAGCAAGCAGAAGGTCCATAGTTGGCTTCGCAAAGTCGGTGTTCGTCACTACGTCCCGATCCCGATTTGGTTTGGGGAAGGGACTGTTATCGAGGAAATGGAGAGAGCAATTATAAAAAGTCAGAATCAATGTCTAAATCCAAGGGGTAAAAAAGGCAAGCAAAAAGCTCGCAAACACAGGAAGCAGGTTAAAAAAGAATCCGGGTTTTCTGTTACGAACATTATCGAACCTTTGTTTTTCGATTGTGAGTGTATTAATGTTAAAAGAGAGCCTGCTTTACTTAATATTCTGAAGATGTTACAAAAACGGAAGATAAAAAGCCCGATTAAGATCGCTAATAACTGCGGTGGACGTTGGCTGAAAGCTTGGCGGCTGGTGCGTGTCTTGTATGGGTTTTCGAAGATCGATGAAAACGGGGTTAAGATGCTGCTTAGTGATGCTAAAACCGCAATTGAATGCGGGGGAGTGTGGTCGATCACTGAATTGCGGCGAACAATTACAAGAATGGAGCAACGGAAGGCTGAGCTCATCGCTCTGCTCAGGACCCCGTGGAAACGTAAAGACCTATTCCACTTGACTCTTGACGAACTGATTGAATTAAACAACGGTGTAAAATCCTTTAATCAACAACACGCTAGGCAAATTATATGGGGAATTCTCACTAACGTCTTCAAGAAAAAGTTTGGAGTGAATCCTAGATTAAATATTACGATAAAAATGCCGTTTTGCACAACTGTAAATAAAGTTAAAGTGAAAAATGAAGTCAAGAGCTGGATTCGGTGCCATATCTCCCCGCTGTCGCTAGCTGACCTGTATGCCAAGAGGACGCGAGCGGTCTGGCTCAAAGCTAGAGTGGTTGGTTCTCTTCTGCATAATCATAAGTCGTACGCACAACTCTGCTCCTTCGAGTGTGGATGTGCCGACTTCGACCTGCCCAAAGTTGATGGGCACGTCTCAATCAAGATCAACGACATTCGGGAGATACACCCATTCCTGTTTAACTCTAAGAATATACCGTTCSCCGGGACGGTGGCTTGCAAAGAGGTCCTGAACTATGCTTGTAACTCAGGACTTGAGTGTTTGCGGAATATGAATCTGATATCTGAATGTATGAACATCAACTGGCTGCGGGTCTGCAGGAGTGGGGAAAGCATGGGGAAGGATTGTGTGCGGTCTAAGTATGTTTTGGGTGTCAAACAAGCACTGGGTGGGTTAGTCCTGTCTCCACTCGACCGAAACACAAGTGAAACCTGGGTTGAGTGCCCCAAGGCGTACGAAGCCGGTCTGAGGAAGATGTACCTGGAAAATGAGAACTATAAACCTGCTGGGGTAAGGAAGGATCTTATCTTAAAGACTATGAAAGGTAGGTACGACGAACTACGGCTGGGGACAGTCGCCAAGTGGGACCCCCGTGGTGACCTCCAGCATGCCTACATTATCACTAAGGAGAAAGACAAGTCAAAAAAGCGGCCAATTGTGCCGTCGTACGCAAGCCCATTCAGGTTGGCTTCTGGGATTTTGTCCACCTTCTTGAATTATCTGATAAAGAAGGCTAACGTACCACACTTCAATTTACAGTCTATGAACCAGATGAGGAGTGAGATCGACAAAGTAAATCGACTTTGTGGCATAACGGACCGTGGTATCACCACTCGGACTTACGATATCAAGGAGATGTTCTCTCAGCTGCCCCACTGGGAGGTTCGTAAGGCCGTGGAATGGGCGACTGGGCTGCTTTTGAGCAAAGGCATCAAATGGATTCGAGTTAAGACTCGTGGGAAGGTGGCTGCGTTCCGTAAATCGCAGGGTGAGTCAGGCTGCTGATCACACTAACCGTTTTCCAGTTGGAGAACACTTTTTTCCTAGCTTCCGACCAAATCCTGCGGCAGAAGTGTGGCATACCCATGGGCGGACGAGCCAGCCCGGCCCTCGCCTGTGTGTTATGTATGTTTGCTGAATTTTAGTTTGTGAGTACTCTGGGCGCTGACGGGAAATACATCATGGGGAAAAGATATATTGATGATCTGTTCATCATGGCCTCCTTTTCAAGAAGTGATCCTGAAGGGCTATTGAAGGCCGAACAAAGCTTGGATAAAATTGAAACCTGTTACCCCCTTGGCTTGAAGCTTGTTCGGACCGACCCGGGTGTCGGGATCCTTGATTTTCAGGAAACCAGGTTGATAATCTCAGATACCCGGGCATCTATCTTAACTACCCATAAATTCAAAAATGCATCTGATATCTGGGGGGAGCAACCCCTGCCGTTTCACACTTACAAGGATTTTTCCTCGTTCGGCCCTAAGGTTGCGAAATTTGCTACAATTGCAAATACCCTCCAGCGAATCTCAACGAACACGAATGACTGTGGTCTCCTCTGCCTGAATGTGCTCACTCTGAACGAAGAACTAAGGAGGCTTAGTATCCCAACCTGCACAATTGAGGCAGGGTTGAAATGGATGAAACGGAGGCATGATGACAGGGCATGGGACGAAATCCGGCAGATGGTCCACAGCTTAACGGCGGTATGATACTCGGAGGACTGGTAGTCCTGCTACTAGGCTGCATTACGTCTGCGTTTTTTAGTTCCTAACGGTTACTGGCCACCCCGGTGCTGACATAAGGCACGGATGGCATAGCTGGTTCGGCTGCTGGATTGCTGAGAAATTCTCGGAAAATCTGTTTTGGTAAACTCACCCGCGGCTATGGATGAGTTGGACGTTTTTCAGATCTTAACGGTTACTGGCTACCCCAGTGCTGACATCCGGCACCGATGGCATAGCTGTCTCCGCCACTGGACTGCGGAGAATTACTCGGATATATATATTTTTTGGGGTGAACTCACCCACGGCTACGGATACGGTGGACGTTGCTTTTCGTCGTTTTCGGGAGAAATGACTTTTGAGTTGTCTAGGTTGTAGGCCCGAGGATACTTGAGGCCGAAAATGTCTGGGTATGTTCGGGGGTTCTTGCTTTAGGGTTTTTTTTCGTAGGGTACTCGTGCGTTCAGCTCGTGATCAATGAGGGCGCAGCTGAGGACCGATGCATCGAAGTACCGAAGACGAGTATAAAAGGTATAGGAGCTATAGACCTCATCCTCAATTTGAGTGGCGAATCAGTAGAAGGATTGGGAAATCCTCGGCAGTGTGCGTCGAGGTAACGTGGGGAGGAAGTTGGTATCGCCATGATATTAAAACTCGTATCTACTTCTTCCTTATGGTGTTCATTGTCTTCATTGTCTTCTTCGTGTCAGAATTCCTAACCAAACTTAGAGTTAAAATTCAAAAACTATAAGAACTTAAAAAAAGTAACGAATTATTAATAATTCGTTACTTGGGTAATAATAATAAATTATTATAGAGATAGACCATGTCCGGACTCCCCAAAAAAACAAAAAACGGGCCTGAAAACCCCCCAAAACAATTTTGGGGGCCTGGCTCCTCAGTGGGGAAGGGTAATTGACAGTTTTATTTTGTTTTTTTTTTGGGCAGATCTCGACCTTCCGGACCGGACGTCTGGAGACCGGACTGAATCCAGACCGTCTGGACGGCAGTCCGGACGTCCAGATCGTAGCCATGGTTTATATCTTACATCAACAGGTCATTATCATCAGCATCATCAGTTTTCTTATCATCAGCTTAGTATCGTAGTATCAGTGGCATTATCGGTGAGGTTCATGAGGGACAGTGGGCCCAGTTCCCAGCACATGCTAATTTGTAAACTCAATGATGTATCTCAAGGGATGCTAGACCCGCTTTCCTGCAGCTGATAGCTCCCCACCAATAGACTGGAGCTGCCTGCAAGACAGAGAGGAGTGTATGGTCTTACCATCTCTCCTATCTGTTGAAGCGGGTGGATTTTTGTTATAAAAAAAAAAGAAAACCAAAAAGAAACATGGTGTTGGGGATTGTAGGCTCTACACCAACATTTGGGAACAAGAAATGTTTGGGATATGAAGATCATATTTGAGCAAAAACAATGCTCTACACCAATTGGCCTAGCTCAGTTGGTACACCCACAAACTGTTGAAATATAGACCCAAGTTCGAATCGAGATACAATCAGATGACCAGAAGAAAATTATTCTGAATTACCTGGGGGCCGTCACTGCCGTCAGTTCAATGGCCGTTGCCCTTTTCAAAACAAAAAAATTATAAAAAATGCTCCACTGTCTTCAACCGAATAGAATACCCCGGGCCGGTTACTAAAGCTGTATTTGGGGCAACTTTCACTCTAGACAGAGCTATTAATAATGACCGGGCCGGTGGGCCCTCTATTCGTGTGAAGATGGTAGTCAAGAGCAGCGCACAATTGCATGCGTTTGTGTTTGAAACAATTCGGTCCAGAGAGCTGTAGAAGGGAAAGGGTAGGGGGGGGGGGGGGGGGGGGGGGGCGGGGGGGGGGGGGGCTGGGGGGGGCGCGCTGGGGGGGGGGGGCGCGGGTAAGGAATGAAAGATGTCTCTCTACTTGGTACTGCGTGGAAAAGTACAAGCTGGGTGGTACAAAGCAGGAGTCAATCTTTTCACTGCTGTTGTGCCTGTCTGGGCTGTGAGGACTTCGGGGTTCATCT